CTTAAAGCTTGATTTTGAATTATGAGATCTCAATCTATATAAAATAATGTTCACAATCATTCTGTATATTTATAATCTTGAGAAGTTATTATGAAACATTCAACATTTAATTAAACTGATATATTAACATAATAGTTCTAATCCTTAATATTATAAAATGTTATAATCGTTATTATAATATGGCACTGACAATCATTATAATCTTTCATAAATTTACCTACGATTTTAATCTTCAAAGCTACAATAACACATATCAACACAAGGCAGGCACATCCCAGAACCCCAGCTATGAGCTTCTCGGTAGGAGCCGGTGAGCCTGCGGGGAGAGAGATGGAGACTGAGAAGGGGAGATGGAGACAGGTGTTCAGTTCACAGACAAAAGAATCTTCAAGCACTTGGAGTCACATACATAAATTTGGACATGAGACCTCTACCTCCCGCTGGATCTTTCCCCCAAAACATACCACTGCTTTTTTATTAAACAAGCAAACATGAATTGTTGTTTTTCAGCAATTATCTATTATGACAATACCTGAAAAATTAGTAGGAAATTATCAGATTTCCTACTAGAATGCCACATTCCAATTCTTATCACCGCAAATGAAAACATGTCAGTTTATCCCCACTCTTCTTTCCCCCTTGACCCCTCTGCACACCCGAGAATACGCTCGTGTAACTGAATGTTGTACCTTTGCACTGACGGGACTTGCCATTCTCCTGAGGACCCCGGGATTTGTGGAGATTTAATTCTGTGTAGGTTATTCCCTGCTCGGTCTCTGTAGTGCAGCTTTTCCTCTCTTGAGGTTTCACTTGGGGGCTCTTCGAGCCCTTCGCCAGCTTCACCTCTGCATAGGTTACTCTGTGGTGGTTCATCTCTGTGGCTCTGTGAGTCAGGAACTGTCTCATGATGAGTTTCTCAGTAGTTCATAGTGGTGCGTCGGACCAGATCACAGTGGGCGGAGTGAGTTGAGTGAAGGACTCATATTGCTGTTTAGCAACACACGGGTCATGTCTGAAGTCCTAAAACACTAAGGTAACTTCATCGGAAGTGGGGCTGTGTTTCCAACATACAAACAATGATGTAAACCAATATTACCTAAATGCAAAA